ATAGAATGAGAGATGAAGAGATAGAATTATATATTTACACTATATTGATTCTGATGTGATATATAAAACAGGTTTGGTACCACACTTGTTAGTGAAAGATCTTTATTATAAATTTCCTGGAATATGGTGACTGTCGTGTGTGTGTGTAAGAACACCTCCTCACGTCTGCCTCTCGGGTACATTACCCAAACTCTCTCAAAGTCAGGAAGTCATTAATAAAAGAACTGTTGGATGTGACTAAACTGTAAGATGGGTTGGGGACGTGTGTGTGTGTGTGTGTGTGTGTGTGTGTGTGTGTGTGTGTGTGTGTGTGTGTGTGTGTGCGTGCGCACACAGGGTGATGTAATGTAACTAATTTGGCAGCATTATGTTAGTGGTAAGGCGCAAGCACCGCTTGCTTCCTCTCGCTTTCAGCTACCGCCGCTGTTTAGCCTTTGTGGGGAACAGGGAAGCAATTTCCCCTGTCAGTACACAGCCTCTTCACCATCAAGACTCCTGCTGTGCCTCCTCGTGGCAACACACTGTAACTGGGTGCCTCGTGGGCCTAGGCTAGACCAACAGGGGATCTCGGAGCAGCAGTGGGCCCCAGAGGGACGGCGCATAGGCCTACTGGCATGTGGACACGTCCTGGCGCTTACCAACCACTGCCCCGCTGCCTTGCAGATGAACCCTGGTAGGTATAAGGCTACGTGAGTGAACCTCGAACGAAAAATCTGCGGTGGAGTCCTGCATCAGGCAGACATGCTTACAGAGCTACAGCAAGACCCCAACGGCGGTGTAGGTGGAAGAGGTGACCAACATGGGAACCCACTGATTACATCGGTAGACAAATGTCAGGACCCTTCTGGATACTATCACAAATGAGCATCCTGAAAGAAGAACTGCCCTTGTGGCAAAAAAGATGGCTACGTATAACATCGACATGGCAGCCATTAGTGAGTCCCGGCTCCCAGACGACGATCAACTCACAGAACGGGGGTCTGGCTACACCTTCTTCTGGAAGGGTAAGCCTGCTGCGGAGAGAAACCGTATTTATGGAGTTGGCTTTGCCATCCACCAATGCATCCTACACAGGCAAACTGAAATGCCTGTTGGGATCAACGAGCGCCTCATGACGCTCCGAGTCCCACTGAATCACTCACGTCATGCCTTTTTCATCAGTGCATACGCCCCAACACTGGATGCAGAGGTTGACATCAAGACCAATACCATGTTTAGGCAGGCCGACAAGTTCAAGGGTTCGTGGCAACACCCACGATCCAAACACTGGCATCTCATTGACTACATCACTGTCAGAGAAAGAGATCGCCGAGATGTCCTCATCACCCGAGCCATGCGTGTTTCAGACCACTGCAACACTGATCATCAGCTTGTCAGAGCCAAGCTCTCACTTCACGTCGCCCCAAAACGGTGAAGGCAGCAAGCCTCCAGAAGAGGTTTTAACACTAAGCGTCTGGAGGATCCCGCGGTAGCACACGCTTTCAGAGAGCAGCTTATAAATATTGATGATGGAGGCTTCTTTAAGAGCTTGGGGGATTTACTCCTTTTCCCATATATTCTCCAGGAGAGAGTGGAGACGGCTGGTAAGCAGAGGTCCTCCTGCTTTATACACCTCGGCTGGGATTCCATCAGCCCTGAGGCTTTGTTATTTTTCATCTGTTTGATGGCAGTAGCTACCTCATCCAGGGATGGAGGATGGCTGAGGTGGGTCAGCCCTGGATGCAGAGGGACCAGCTGGGTAATCAGGACATCCACATTGGTGTTTCGGTTGAGCAGTGAATGGTAGAGCTCTTCCAGCGCCGAAGGAGGCCTTCTTCATCTTTAATTAGGGAGTTACCATTGGATGAGCGGAGGGGGGCTGCGCCATGAGTGATTGGCCCATAAAATGTTTCAGTGGAACTGAAAAATTCGCTCATCTTGTGCTGATCAGCAAGTTTTTGTGTTTCTTCATGCTTTATTTATAAACTAGTCTTTCTTTAGATTGCGAAGTTTGCGTTGGGCCACCGATTTCTTCTTGTGAAAGGTATCAGCTTTGGTCCGAGACTAAGGGTTGTTCTGCCAATCAGTTAAATCAGCACGTTTATCATTGATGAGTTCATTGATTTCCGGGTCGTTTTCATTAAACCAGTCCTGGTGTATTCTTTCGATCTGGCCGAGAGTCTCTGCAGGTTTTTGTCATGACAGTGTCGAGAATATCTCATTCGGCCCTGGGATTTGGGTTGTTTGTTGCCGGGTTGTTTATCAGCCCATGTTCGAGCTGCTCTCTGAAAGCATGTGCTACCCCTTGGATCCTCCAGACGCTTAGAAACACCCCCTACTTATACACAAACACACCACCTACCTGAACACAAACACACCACCTACCTAGACACAATCACCACCTACCTAGACACAAACACCACTACCTAGACACAAACACCACCTACCTAGACACAAACACCACTACCTAGACACAAACACCACCTACCTAGACACAAACACCACCTACCTGGACACAGAC